CATGATGTGGTTTGTATGACTCTTTGCTTATAAAAAAAGAACATGTGGAGTGCGATACAATGCATGTGCTGAATCTGCTGAGGTCTGACGTAACGTGTTACTGCACAATGGAAGGCACGAAGCGGAGTTGCAAAATGGCCAACCAATTACCACCAGAATAATCAACTGCAATTAGGAACATGTAGATTGGTTTTAGGTGTTTAAATTAACCCGTATGTCTGAACCAGGGAATACAGGTAGTGTCTAGTATTATTATAACCCAAATTACCAATACTAGTTCAAAACTAGTATTAGATAAACCTTGTTATAGTTCACGCATATTGTTAGATTGAGCGTCCTCCGCCTTGTTTCATGCTGTCAATCTAACAATATAGGTATTGCCTACTACCCGTACCTTCTGGTCTGAAATGGGATGACTAGACCCGGGCGATGTGCAGAGTTCTACATGTGTACATGTGATCAGCGCTCCGTGTATGGGTCTACGACAGGTCACAGCGAGACAGCTCACAGCGCGCCAACTCACAGCGAGACAACTCACAGCGAGACAACTCACAGTGTCGTCAACTCGCAGTCAAGACCACTCACAACCTAGACAACTCACTGCGCGACAACTCACAGTGTAGTCAACTCACAGTGTCGTCAAATCACAGTGTCGACAACTCACAGTGTCGACAACTCACAGTGTCGACAACTCACAGCGAGGCAACTCGCAGCGTTCTTATTTTTTAATCGAGAAATAATAACCTATACAAATGTTTCCAACAATAAGTAAGAATCTTCAATGATTTCCCGGATAAAACAGAATGAAGAATGTAGTTGATATTTGAAACTAGGACGGAAGCAGAAAATATTACAAAAAAATGTATTGTCTACGCATGCATCTACGCAAGAATCACCACCACCAGCCAATTAGGACATGTGTCAAAAGTATTGAATGTTTTCGTTCCCTTCTTGTCAAAATACTACAGGGAATGATGGAAATAAGCTAAACGACTACAACTATAAGGAAAAGAAGTTCAGAAATACATCACTCCAATTATGTGTAGAAGTGACATAATTGGAGTGATGTATTTCTGAACTTCTTTTCCTTATAGTTGTAGTCGTTTAGCTTATTTCCATCATTCCCTGTAGTATTTTGACAAGAAGGGAACGAAAACATTCAATACTTTTGACACATGTCCTAATTGACTGGTGGTGATTCTTGCGTAGATGCATGCGTAGACAAAACGTTTTTCTCCAATTTTCCCTCTCCACACACTGCTCCATCATTGCCTGCTCGACAAAAATGCCATCCAGGAATTTCCAGATTGTGGGATGATGGCAGTCGATGGTAGACGAAAACTTGCGGTGCCACCCTTCTTGACTGTTATTCGTTCTGTCTTCATTTTGTAGAGTGCTGTCGTGGACATTCCACAATGGAGGTGGGAATAGTGGCGTTCTGCGTTGACCATTGTGCCGAAGGGTACCAATGTAACTCTTCTCGAAGTACTCCAGGATGGGATCCATTTCTGGCGACAACGTGTCTTCCAAGTGAAGGAAGAACTCGACAATATCACCAAGTGGTACAAATGCGAGGGCTGCCAACTTCCGCACTTCAAGGGCGAATGCTACATTGGTGGTGTACCTCTCCTGAAGACCAGCACTCTGCACGTGTCGGAATATGTTCTGGCTGAGATGGAAGTAGCAGCCGTGAATTTGACAGTCTGGGAACTTCATCTGCATTGCGTTCATTGCACCCTTCTCAAAGTCCATCATCACTGTTTGAGGTTGGATGCCGTCTTTAGCTTGTATGATGACGTCCAGAAGTCTCTCGTAGGTCTGCTGGGTCTTGTTGGGAAGCAAAGCGTGTAGAAGCGGCAGGAAGTAGCCATTCTTCTTAACTGAAATGGTGTACAGCTGGTAAAATAGGCGAGGCACCGTCTTGAATGTACCATCACCATACCAGCTTCCACACTCGTCAAGCATGTCGAGGTTCTCCTGCGTACAGAACACAATAATTCTGTTGTCCGCAGTTTCCGGTCCACTGTCGTAGAGAAGGAAGACGTCCCCACCCTTCGTTTCTTGATAGCGCTCCGGAAGCTGGAGGTCTTGCAGGGTGCATGGGTTCGGCGGAACGTTCTGAACCCGCAGGCGATCTCGTTGCGATTGCCGCTTAAGTGACTTGGAGTCTGGCAGCTGCACTGCCACTGCAAACGAAGCTTCCGCTAGCGCGCCGTTCACAATTTGAGACGTTGACTCCACTGTCTCTTGGCTATGTACAGTAATGGCATCTCTCACAGCAGCCACCTCCTGCCTCTCAGCCTCTGCGGGATGGTTGTGGTCACCGACTAAGGCCACTATTCTCCTGTCCGACATCTTCGCTCTCCCTTTACAATGCAGCTCGTCCTTCCGCTCACACCTCCAGTAACTGATGTCTCTGGGCCCGTCTTTATCTTTCACGTAGGCATATCCACGAAAGACTACTTTCTCTCGTCCTCGCTGCGTTTTCGTAACGTAATCTGGTAAAGAATCCATGGTATAGTGATCTCACCATGACACTCGCATCCATGACCAAAAACGATCCAATTTTTTCTGTTCAAGTTCAACTGTGAGCTTTTATAGCCAGAGCATGTTCCAGCAGTGGCATTAGGGTGATATCAGAAGCAGCCAATCAATGAAAAGTAACCACACTGCTAAGCTGGTGTGGCTGTGAATTATCGCGCTGTGAGTTGGTGTGGCTGTGAGTTGTCTTGGCTGTGACTTGTCTCGCTGTGAGTTGACGACACTGTGAGTTGACGAGGCTGTGAGTTGACGACACTGTGAGTTGACGAGGCTGTAAGTTGTCGCGCTGTGAGTTGTCTTGGCTGTGAGTTGACGACACTGTGAGCTGTCGGCTGTGAGTTGTCGCGCTGTGAGCTGTCTCGCGGTGACCTGTCGTGTTCCCTATTATCGTCTCTCGAACCAGCTGCGAACCAGGATCGAAATGTTTGCCCCGAAAGCACCCCCCCCCCCCCTGCCTTCGCCTTGGAGTACTGTTGGCCACGCCTGGGAAATATTGGTGGCTGCCCATACCATAGTGGCCAGACACACACTTTGCACTAACTCAAAAAGGCTAGCCCTAAAACTAACACTGCCCCCACATGCAATCACAGTGTTTTTTTCCAACTGCATGCTCGTGGTACAAAATCAACATCCGGTGCATAGTAGGGTCCGGCGAATTCTGCCGGCAGAACATTTAGCAGAATTCGATACTTTTTCTGGTAAGTTTCATGCATGTTCGGTATGTGGATAAAAAAAATGGAGCAGAATGCGAGGAATTGCCCGCCATAAGGTTTGTATGGTTCTGCCAATTTCACTGCTTTTCGAGCAGAATCTGCCACCTTTTCGAGCAGAATCCGCCGGTTCCTAGTGCATGGCACAAACCACAAACAAACACCAATAATTGGCAATATTTCTCTTGACCGGGTGGGGCCAAAATCCCCACCCTCTTGTACTGTTGCCTGATGTCTGATGATTCCATAGCATGAAACTCAGAGTTGCGAAAGCCTAGCCTTGCCCCTTGTTGTTCTGTGTACTCGTTCTATCATTACCGTTAGGAGCTGCAGCATCTAATATGACTCGATCATTGAGTGTGGTGGCGGTCTCTAGCCTAGGTGCTGATCATAGTTTTGGATTGACTGATTTTCGGCAAACCGTAAAAATCCCATGCCCTAATGCTAACCCCACATCCCTGAACAGGAGATTTGCTCCGAATACTGGTGACAACCATTGCCATTATCATTATCATTATCAGCGGATCATGTGTTACTTGTGTATTGTGACCTTTGCCTTTGACTGACATGACGGTTACTGAAAGAATTGATAAGAGCTAGAATGGATTATTTCGCTCCTGCTCTTTAGACTTGTAGCAGTTGAGCACTCTTGTGTGGGCTAGTGCCTTTGCTGTTTGCGTTATGCAGAGCTCACTGACTTGTCAGTGTGAGCACTCTGGCAAGGTACGTTCGGGCCTGGTTTAAATCTGGCTTTTGGAAAATTTATTTTTCATTGCTATCAGGTCCGGCCTCGTTTCCTCTGTGCTGCGCGCTGATGAGTCCACAAAGCCTTTCAAAGTACGAAACAGTTCAAACAGTTCTGTACGCAGATTGAGTAAGAACTACACCAGTAGTACAGTCCTGGCAACTGAAATCCGACCTCCTAGCGGTGCGTCCACATTCTAGCGATCTCTGCTTCGCAGTTTTACCATCCCATCCCGTGTTGGGTCTTTGCGATGTGAGCGCACTGCTCAAGGGTCGGATTTCAGCTGCCAACACTGTAGTCTGTAGTATACAGTATAGTCCAGACTAGAGTGTGCAGATCACTGAAGAAGTAGAGCTCTGACGAAGGTCATTGTGTGACGGGTTAGCATCAACCAGGCAGAAGTGACAGGTGCAACAGGTGACTACTGTCGTAGATCTAGTACTGAGTAAAACTGTAGTCTGTAGTGAGCAGGGAGTCGTAAAAACCACTCCCCGGTCGCGAATGTAGAGCGAGTTCGCATGACAACCTATCACGAGATTTCGCCATTGCCACAATCATAGGCTATCACGAGATTCAACCATGGCCACAATCTTAGCAGTTGCTAACAAAGATCAAGAGATGACGCCCGCTGAAATGGAAAACACGAGGACCTCGCATGTTAGCTTTCAGGATACGGTCATCAACTCTACTACTAGTCGTACTGCACATGATGGATCTGTGTTTGGCGGATACACGAGCCTGACGAGGACTACGATCGACGACAACAACTCGCCTAGAACACTAGTATCAGTTACGGAGTTTGTAAACCAATTGTCCACTTCAAAACGTCTCGACTTCATTGTCCTTCCTTGCTTTGGTGACTCAGTGCGTACAATGATCATGTGTCTCTAGTGCCATGGAACTGGAAGCTTTGCCTTTGATGAGAGAGTTAGGCCTGACAAATCAGGATATTGTTTTCTTGGGAGAAGTGCGAGTGAGGCAAGAAGATGACTTGGTCGTGGCTCCGATGCACTCGTGTACCGGCTGAACTGGCAGGGAATAGATATCGCCCTGAAGGTTCTGCATCCCATTTTGATTGAGCCTGGTGTTCTGGACCGGGAGAGGAAAATCCGTTCATTCGGCCAAGAGGTATTCCGTCTCAGTCGCATCCACCACCCCAACCTATGTCAATTGCTGGGCATTGCCAGGGTTGGGCGAAACGCTGCTCTCGCGTTGGAGTTGCTGAATTCGACGTTGGAAGAGTTGAGTATTGGTGAGGGTCGGGAGGATGGCTTGAAGTTGATCGGCTACCTCTGCGACACGTCGGCTGGTATCAGATACCTGCACGTTCGTGGTATTATCCACCGGGACCTCGCACCGAAGAATGTGATGATCAAGAACGGAGTCGCAAAGGTATGCGATTTTGGTGTGGCGAAATTCGTACGTTTGGCATCCCCTCGTCAACAGCAGCACCAGGTGCAGGCGGCTCGAATGGACATGACCCGTTGCCCCGGAACGCTGGTTTTTATGCCACCGGAGGCTATGGTAGAGGAACCAGACTATGATCGTCCGCTGGATATCTTCTCGTTGGGAGTTACGCTACTGGCTGTTATCACTGGTGTTATGCCTGGGATCGACCTGGATCAACGCTCCAGCCGTTGTGATCGTCCAGGACGCCAGTGGTCGGGGAAACGACGCAGGTGGTAGCGGAGACAAGACGGCGTGCTGCATATCTTCGGCGACTGGCAGATGACCACCCACTGAAGCCGCTGGCAGTTCGCTGCCACTCCAATGAACCGAGCGAGCGACCGACCGCCGAGGAAGTACACGAGGAGATGAAGCGAGTGTTGCAGCTGTTCACCAGTCTTCTCGTCGGTAAGTAGTTTGTTGAAAGTATTTTTATGGGCATTTCAATTATCTTCTTGAGCCAGCCTACCACCGTGCCTTTGTTGCGATGTAATGAAACAAGTGAAGGTCAAGCATTCTTGATTGTATGTGGAGGAAAAGCGAATGCACTGGCGATGCATTCATTTGTCGGTGTGTGTAGTTTGAGGGAGCCAGCGACCAGGTTACAGCAAGCCTCCTCCTGTACACTTGCACAATACACCGTGTGTTGCAACCGTACAGGATTAGCAGAAAGTTCTGAAGATCATAAACAAAAGGTTACGAATTTCGTTATCAAAATTGACCGCCTATCCCTTCAGACAACCACTTCAAGACACAATAGAGTGTGGTTGCTTTCTTTTGTTCCGTTACAAGTACAAAGCTCAACGTATAAAAATGGACAATCACCAGGTAGTTGCTGCTCCTCTTCTAGACATTGTGGTCTGGAAATGTCCTTCTTGTATGGCTACCTTCAAGTTCTTCTGCACAGCACGTCATGTGTACTTGGTGTGGGCATGCCGTGTCTTGCTAACCATTTGCACGTCCTACACACATACATGTACAAGGTAGGCCAATGGCCGTACCTGCCTTGCATGCGTGGCTACTAGAACCTAGTGTCCTGTCACCTATAGCTGGGTGTTACACAAAGCCTGATGTGCATCACCTATAGCCCTGTCTGGACCTTGGTGTAGTCTGATGTGTATCACCTATAGCCCTGTCTGGACCTCGGTGTAGTCTGGTGTGTATCACCTATAGCCCTGTCTGGACCTCGGTGTAGTCTGATATGCATCACCTATAGCCCTGTCTGGACCTCGGTTTAGTCTGATGTGTATCACCTATAGCCCTGTCTGGACCTCGGTGTAGCCTGATGTGTATCACCTATAGCCCTGTCTGGACCTCGGTGTAGTCTGGTGTGTATCACCTATAGCCATGTCTGGACCTCGGTGTAGTCTGATGTGTATCACCTATAGCCCTGTCTGGACCTCGGTGTAGTCTGATGTGTATCACCTATAGCCCTGTCTGGACCCTCGGTTTAGTCTGATGTGTATCACCTATAGCCCTGTCTGGACCTCGGTGTAGCCTGATGTGTATCACCTATAGCCCTGTCTGGACCTCGGTGTAGTCTGGTGTGTATCACCTATAGTCCTGTCTGGACCTGGGTGTAGTCTGGTGTGTATCACCTATAGCCCTGTCTGGACCTCGGTGTAGTCTGATGTGTATCACCTATAGCCCTGTCTGGACCTCGGTGTAGTCTGGTGTGTATCACCTATAGCCCTGTCTGGACCTCGGTGTAGTCTGGTGTGTATCACCTATAGCCCTGTCTGGACCTGGGTGTAGTCTGATGTGTATCACTATAGCCCTGTCTGGACCTCGGTGTTGTCTGGTGTGTATCACCTATAGCCCTGTCTGGACCTCGGTGTAGTCTGGTGTGTATCACCTATAACCCTGTCTGGACCTCGGTGTAGTCTGGTGTGTATCACCTATAACCCTGTCTGGACCTCGGTGTAGTCTTGTGTGTATCACCTATAGCCCTGTCTGGACCTGGGTGTAGTCTGGTGTGTATCACCTATAGCCCTGTCTGGACCTCGGTGTAGTCTGGTGTGTATCACCTATAGCCCTGTCTGGACCTCGGTGTAGTCTGGTGTGTATCACCTATAGCCCTGTCTGGACCTGGGTGTAGTCTGGTGTGTATCACCTATAGCCCTGTCTGACCTCGGTGTAGTCTGGTGTGTATCACCTATAGCCCTGTCTGGACCTCGGTGTAGTCTGATGTGTATCACCTATAGCCCTGTCTGGACCTCGGTGTAGTCTGGTGTGTATCACCTATAGCCCTGTCTGGACCTCGGTGTAGTCTGGTGTGTATCACCTATAGCCCTGTCTGGACCTCGGTGTAGTCTGATGTGCATCACCTATAGCCCTGTCTGGACCTCGGTGTAGTCTGATGTGTATCACCTATAGCCCTGTCTGGATCTCGGTGTAGTCTGGTGTGTATCTCCTATAGCCCTGTCTGGACCTCGGTGTAGTCTGGTGTGTATCACCTATAGCCCTGTCTGGACCTCGGTGTAGTCTGATGTGTATCACCTATAGCCCTGTCTGGACCTCGGTGTAGTCTGGTGTGTATCACCTATAACCCTGTCTGGACCTCGGTGTAGTCTGGTGTGTATCACCTATAGCCCTGTCTGGACCTCGGTGTAGTCTGGTGTGTATCACCTATAGCCATGTCTGGACCTCGGTGTAGTCTGATGTGTATCACCTATAGCCCTGTCTGGATCTCGGTGTAGTCTGGTGTGTATCACCTATAGCCCTGTCTGGACCTCGGTGTAGTCTGATGTGTATCACCTATAGCCATGTCTGGACCTCGGTGTAGTCTGATGTGTATCACCTATAGCCCTGTCTGGACCTCGGTGTAGTCTGGTGTGTATCACCTATAGCCCTGTCTGGACCTCGGTGTGTCTGGTGTGTATCACCTATAGCCCTGTCTGGACCTCGGTGTAGTCTGATATGCATCACCTATAGCCCTGTCTGGACCTCGGTGTAGTCTGGTGTGTATCACCTATAGTCCTGTCTGGACCTCGGTGTAGTCTGGTGTGTATCTCCTATAGCCCTGTCTGGACCTCGGTGTAGTCTGGTGTGTATCACCTATAGCCCTGTCTGGACCTGGGTGTAGTCTGATGTGTATCACCTATAGCCCTGTCTGGACCTCGGTGTTGTCTGGTGTGTATCACCTATAGCCCTGTCTGGACCTCGGTGTAGTCTGGTGTGTATCACCTATAACCCTGTCTGGACCTCGGTGTAGTCTGGTGTGTATCACTATAACCCTGTCTGGACCTCGGTGTTAGTCTTGTGTGTATCACCTATAGCCCTGTCTGGACCTGGGTGTAGTCTGGTGTGTATCACCTATAGCCCTGTCTGGACCTCGGTGTTAGTCTGGTGGTATCACCTATAGCCCTGTCTGGACCTCGGTGTAGTCTGGTGTGTATCACCTATAGCCCTGTCTGGACCTGGTGTAGTCTGGTGTGTATCACCTATAGCCCTGTCTGGACCTCGGTGTTGTCTGGTGTGTATCACCTATAGCCCTGTCTGGACCTCGGTGTAGTCTGGTGTGTATCACCTATAGCCCTGTCTGGACCTCGGTGTAGTCTGATGTGTATCACCTATAGCCCTGTCTGGACCTCGGTGTAGTCTGGTGTGTATCACCTATAGCCCTGTCTGGACCCTCGGTGTAGTCTGGTGTGTATCACCTATAGCCCTGTCTGGACCTCGGTGTAGTCTGATGTGCATCACCTATAGCCCTGTCTGGACCTCGGTGTAGTCTGATGTGTATCACCTATAGCCCTGTCTGGATCTCGGTGTAGTCTGGTGTGTATCCCTATAGCCCTGTCTGGACCTCGGTGTAGTCTGGTGTGTATCACCTATAGCCCTGTCTGGACCTCGGTGTAGTCTGGTGTGTATCACCTATAGCCATGTCTGGACTCGGTGTAGTCTGATGTGTATCACCTATAGCCCTGTCTGGATCTCGGTGTAGTCTGGTGTGTATCACCCTATAGCCCTGTCTGGACCTCGGTGTAGTCTGGTGTGTATCACCTATAGCCCTGTCTGGACCTCGGTGTAGTCTTGTGTGTATCACCTATAGCCATGTCTGGACCTCGGTGTAGTCTGGTGTGTATCACCTATAGCCATGTCTGGACCTCGGTGTAGTCTGATGTGTATCACCTATAGCCCTGTCTGGACCTCGGGTGTAGTCTGGTGTGTATCACCTATAGCCCTGTCTGGACCTCGGTGTAGTCTGGTGTGTATCACCTATAGCCCTGTCTGGACCTCGGTGTAGTCTGATATGCATCACCTATAGCCCTGTCTGGACCTCGGTGTAGTCTGGTGTGTATCACCTATAGTCCTGTCTGGACCTCGGTGTAGTCTGGTGTGTATCTCCTATAGCCCTGTCTGGACCTCGGTGTAGTCTGGTGTGTATCACCTATAGCCCTGTCTGGACCTGGGTGTAGTCTGGTGTGCATCACCTATAGCCCTGTCTGGACCTCGTGTAGTCTGGTGTGTATCACCTATAGCCCTGTCTGGACCTGGGTGTAGTCTGGTGTGTATCACCTATAACCCTGTCTGGACCTCGGTGTAGTCTGGTGTGTATCACCTATAGCCCTGTCTGGACCTCGGTGTAGTCTGGTGTGTATCACCTATAGCCCTGTCTGGACCTCGGTGTAGTCTGGTGTGTATCACCTATAGCCCTGTCTGGACCTCGGTGTAGTCTGGTGTGTATCACCTATAGCCCTGTCTGGACCTCGGTGTAGTCTGGTGTGTATCACCTATAGCCCTGTCTGGACCTCGGTGTAGTCTTGTGTGTATCACCTATAGCCCTGTCTGGACCTGGGTGTAGTCTGGTGTGTATCACCTATAGCCCTGTCTGGACCTCGGTGTAGTCTGGTGTGTATCACCTATAGCCCTGTCTGGACCTCGGTGTAGTCTGGTGTGTATCACCTATAGCCCTGTCTGGACCTCGGTGTAGTCTTGTGTGTATCACCTATAGCCCTGTCTGGACCTCGGTGTAGTCTTGTGTGTATCACCTATAGCCCTGTCTGGACCTGGGTGTAGTCTGGTGTGTATCACCTATAGCCCTGTCTGGACCTCGGTGTAGTCTGGTGTGTATCACCTATAGCCCTGTCTGGACCTCGGTGTAGTCTGGTGTGTATCACCTATAGCCCTGTCTGGACCTCGGTGTAGTCTTGTGTGTATCACCTATAGCCCTGTCTGGACTGGGTGTAGTCTGGTGTGTATCACCTATAGCCCTGTCTGGACCTCGGTGTAGTCTGGTG